CCACTAAACATTTGATATTGCTGGCTGACTAATATAATCACGGTCTTGCTGGGAGTGCGGAGAGGGTAACTCTCTCCCAGCGAAATTTTTTTTCACTCAAAAATGAAAGAGATAAACACTTATAAACGTTCTAGGTCAATTTAAATACAAAACCATAAACTTGCCCGTCGGGTGCTCCTGATTTTTAAGAGACTTCACGAAGGAACATCAAGTAAAAAAGACCGAGGCTCATCGTAAAAGAGTGCAAATGAAAGCAAACAAGAAAGCTTCCCTTGATAGCAAAGTCACAATACAATCTATACAACTTGATACAAGTGAATCCAAGGCTGATTCTCATGTACGCCTACAGTCATTGCTATTGAAAAATCCAGGAATATTGGCATCAAGGGTCTACCTAAAAAGTGAGCTTCAGATCTTATGCCAAGGATATGAAATACCATTCAAATCAAGCGACAACAAGGAAAAGCTGAGTACGTTGTTAGGTAATCAAATTAAGCAATTAAATGGAATGCCTAAGCCTGGCAAAATTACAGAATTGGAAGGAGAAAGAGATGTACAGTCTGTATCTTCACCATCCGGGCATTATCAAGGTAGATTTTTGGTATATGAAAGTTGTATATCAATATTATGATTTTCATTTTATTGCTCTGACTATTAATTTTTTTCATTGTTATTGTATATTTCCCAGCAGGAAACCCTGAAATATCAATAAACCATTTGGAAGATCATCTTGAAATCTCCCATGCCCAATCGAGTTCATCAGCTCAAGGTAAAAGCTTCATTTTAATTACACTTTGTTGATCAAATCTCAACAAGGAAATAAATAATTTACAAGAGAGGGAGAAGGGATTTCCCATATTTGATAGGGCAGGCCGGATGCTTGTCAAAAAAATGACACTTCAAAAACTAACCTCCACTGCACTATGTAGTATATATAGTAAATTTGTATCTCCGCACGCCCATGTAATATCCTCTATCTTATGCACATGGGAGATTATATTAGTTACATGTAATATAAATAATAATTCTACAATTTATTTAAGTTTTTAATAATGATGCAATGTCAAACCAACAACCTGTGGGAACTTCTGAAATAACGGTTTAGTCCAGTCAGCAAGCATCATTGGTTAAATGTGCCTGCTTTATTTATAAATTTCTAATTTAATTATTCTGACTATTTTTCGTAGTTGTTGTACATCAGCATTTTGCATTTAAGGTACAAGTAAATACTGACAATGACATTTATCATTTTCAGGTAATAATAATGAAGTACTAGATCAACAACCTGTAATGATATGCATATTCAGGAGCGTTGAGCATGCGCATTAGAGGCATACAAGAGAACACGTGCGAATAGATGCGAGAGTTCTGTTGTTAAGAA